TTCTCCTCTTGGGATCTTAGGCACACACGCACACATGCCCGGCGTGAGTTTAAGTCACCGGGTCCGGGACTCGAACCGCAGTCAACTACATGGGAGTCCAGCGACATAGCCATTATGCTAACTGCTGGCCCCATAATTTTTTTTTAATTTGAAATTCAGACCAGCAGATGGAATAATGGCTACGTTGCTGGATTCCCATGTAGTTGGCTGTAGTTCGAGTCCTGGACCCAGTGGCTTAAATTCATGCTAGGCATGTGTGAATGCATGCCCTGGATCCCAAGAGGAGAAGGGATTGTGACGTGACCATCCTCCCGAAGGGTGATTTCTCACCTTATGTCTTTCTGATGAGCGCACGCACCCTATAGCAAAAACATCTCAAAAAATTTTTTTGTTTTAAAATTATGGCACCAGCCCTGTGGCCTGGTCCTTAAGGGAGTGGATCCCACATGATAACCATGTGGGATGGTTGGTCAAGGCTTGGACCTGGCGGCTGGGAAACGTACTGGGCACATCTGTGCGCATGCCCGAATCCCAGCGGCACGACCGTACCCCACTGGGGGTGCTTTCTCTCCAGCTTACGTCTAAGCATGTGAGCACGTGTGCCTTCTGGCAATATTAGGTTTTTCTATGAAAAATACGTCAGTGACTTTTCTGACGACTCAGTAAAACTAGAAAAGTTGAACTTAGGCGGCTCTCATTACATTTTTTTGGATAGCACTGGTCTGAATTCTCCCCATACTTCAGGTCATAGCTGAAATTCCACCTCTTTTTCCATGAAGCACTCTCTGATTTGACCCATGGCTAAAAATTACCTCATTCCTTAGCTCACCTGCCCCATTTTTTTCTTTTGAGAAATTTTTGCTATAGGGCACGTGCTTGCTAGAGACAGAGACACAGGAAGTGAGAATCACCCCTCCAGGGGATGGCCACGCCACAATCCTTCCTCCACTCTCCTCCTGGGATTTTGGGCACACACACACCCAGTGTGAGTTTCATGCTGCTAGGTCCGAGACTTGGACAACAACTGACCACGGGGAAGTCCAGCCCTTAACCACATGCCACCTGCAGCTTCTTAAATCACATTATTTTCTAACCTGACTTAATGAATTTGACTCTTAGCTGTTAATGACAATATTTGTTCTAAATAAATAACTGTCCTTTCACTAGATTGTGAACCAATTTAAACCACTGGGGGCCAGCTGGTGGTGTGGAGGTTAAGGCCCTGGATCCTACATGGCCAACTCCAGAGTTCGAGTTTCTGACCTGGCAGCTTGAAAAACATGCTGGGCGTGTGTGCCTAGGTGCCCCGATTCCCGAGAGCAGACTAGAGAAGGGACCGGTCTGAGGGGTGACCTCACTTCCCCACCTCTCAGTGGTGCTCTGGTAAGCTCACACACGCAATGACAAAAATGGGAAAGAAAGAAGCAACGTGCTGGAGTGGGTCCTGAGGGTGACGCCGGCACGCCTCACTTGAAATGTTTCACCTGTGACCCCAAAAAGCCAGCTGTTACAAGATGGACTATGGGAAGCAGCCGTGTTCAAGAGAGATCATGTTTCCTTCAAGGTGTATCAAGGGGAGAACAGGTGGTGTGGTTAAGGCGCTGGACTTCCACATGGCTGACCGTAGTTTGAGTCCAGGACCTGGCAGCTTGCTTTCATGCCTTGTCTCTCTCTCTCTCACTCTGGTCAAATTAAGAATAACAGTAATGGGGGGAACCAGCAGTTGGCGTAATGGCTATGTCGCTGGACTCCCACGTAGTCAACCGCGGTTCACGTCCCAGACCCGGTGGCTTAAAACTCATGCCAGGGGAACCAGCAGTTAGCGTAATGGCTATGTCGCTGGACTCCCACGTAGTCGACTGCGATTCACGTCCCAGACCCGGTGGCTTAAAAGTCACGCCGGGCACATGTGCGTGCGTGCCCAAGATCCCGAGAGGAGAATGGAGGAGAAGGGATTGTGGCGTGACCATCCCCCCTGGGGGGTGATTTCTTGCTTTCTGTCTCTCTGTCTCTCTCTGTCTGTCTGGCGAGTGCAGGGCACGCTCCCGATAGTGAAAAAAAAAAAAAAACCAAAAAAACTCATGCCGGGCACATGTGTGTGTGTGCCCAAGATCCTGAGAGGAGAACGGAGGAGAAGGGATTGTGGCGTGGCCATGCCCCCTGGGCGGTGATTTCTCGCTTTCTGTCTCTCTGTCTCTCTCTCTTTCTGGCGAGTGCATGCGCCCTATAGCAAAAACCTCTCCAAAAACATTGGAAAATTAAAAAATAAAAGTAATGATAAATAAAAGGAAATTATTTTTATAACAAATTTTGAAATTTTCTTATTTTATTATTTATTCATTCATTTATTATTATTTGACCAGAGAGAGTCACAGAGAGAGAGAGATGAAAGTGAGAGAGCAAGCCACCAGTCCGGGACTTGAACCATGGTCAGCCATGTGGGAGTGTCCAGCACTTTAACCACACGCCACCTGCTGGCCCCCAAGGAAATAATTCTTTTTAAAAAAAAAAAGTGGATCAAAATCCTTGGAAGGGGGCCAACAGGTAGTGTGGTAGTTGAGGTGCTGGATGCTCGCATAACTGACCATGGTTTGAGTCCCAGCCCTGGCAGCTTGCTTTCTCAATTTTCCTCTCTCTGTCTCTCTCTGTTCAATTAAAAGGATGATTATGATGAGTAAAATTAAATAAAATAATAAATAAATTTTTAAAAAACCCCTGGAAGGGCATAAGATTTTTTCAATAAGTATTTTTTGCTTCATTTTATTCCTTTTTGCCTAAAAAAATAATTTTTAAGCTTTTATGCTTTAAAATCACACTGGGGATGGCAGCAGGTGGCGTGGCAATTGAAGGCGCTGGATTCTCACATGGCTGGCTGCGTTTCGAGTCCCTGACCTGGCCGCTAACTTTCTCACTTTCCCTATCTCTCACTCTGGTCATATTTAAAAATAATAATAATAAATAAAGTTAAATGAAAATATTATTTTTTAAAAATCACACTGGGCATATGTGTTACGTGCCCCAAATCTCAGAATTGAGAAGGGATTGTGGCGTGGCCATCCCTCCGGGAGTGTTTTCTCATTTTCCTCTGCCTCTCCGGCAAATGCCCATGGCCTATTGCAAAACTAAAATAAAGAGAAAGACGGCGGGGCCCACCTAAGGCACAGTGGTCGTAACACGATACTCTGCAGGTCCACAGACCCTACCGAACACTGGCGTACCGTCCCAGGGCTGCCGAAGCCGGGGCTGGGTCACGGCATGAGGCTTAGCTGGGAACCACGGGTGTGTCTCACTCATAAGTGAGTTTAAAGGGGAAAGATAAAGGCACTGCTCTGTGGGCCAGCTGTGCACCGTGGTTCGGCAGCTGGAGCCTACACGGCTGACTGTGCTGTTTGCATCCTGGACCCAGTGGCCTGGAACATGCTGGGGACATGTGTGTGCATGCCCAAAAGTCCCAAGGAAAATAAGGGAGAAGATGACATTGTGGCCATCCCCCTGGGAGGTGCGTTCCTCTCCCTCTGTCTCTCCAGTGAGCATGTGTCCCCTATGGCAAACACCATAAAGGAAAAACAGTGTTCTAAAAGGCCCGCAGGTAGCGTGGTGGTTAAGGTGCTGGGACCCCACACAGCTGACCACAGTTCAAGTCTTGGACCTGGTGGCTGGAAAAATCACCAGGCACATGTGGGTGCACGCCCACAATTTAGGAGGAGAATGGAGAAGAGTTTTGCGGTGTGGCCATCCCCCCCCGGGGGTGATTTTGCACTCTCTCTCTCTCTCTCTTTGTCTCTGAGCACATGCAGCCTATGTCAAAAGCCTTAAAAATAAATAAATAAATAAAAGGCACCAGGGCCAGCAGGTGGTGTGGTGGTTAAGGTGCTGGACACTCCCACATGGCTGACTACAGTTCGAGTCCCAGACCCGGTGGCTTGCTTTCCCATATTCCTCTGTCTCTCTCTCTCTCTCTCTCTCTCTCTCTCTGTGTGTGTGTGTGTGTGTGTGTGTGTATGTGTCTACCTGATCAAATTAAAATAAATGAATGAATAAATAAAATGAAATGATTCTTTTTAAAAAAGAGGCACCACCATGGTGCCTTTTCCTCTCGTGGTCTCAGCGGCACGTCACTCAGCACTTAACTGGAGTGCCCTGAACCTCGAGTGCGTGTCAGCGAGTAACGGATGCGTCGGCATACTCCTCACCTCCGGAGAGCCCCGTCTGGGAGAGGGCGGCGTCATTGTTTATGCTGTTACAGTAACCTCCCACTCTGTTCTAAAACGGGATTAGAACTGGCTCTCGGCTAATCAGAAACAATGAATACAGGGAGATGGTGGCAAATGTACAAAAAAGGAAAACGAATGTGGAGATTTATAGATTTCATCCCAGTGGACAGGCTGGAAAACTTGAAGGCAGAAACCAGAGAGGTGGTTCTCGAGGGTGGGGTGGAGAGGAGCGATGAGGTCACCCCGCCTGCTCCGTCGCCTCCTGCTCTGTCTGCACTCACGTGCAATTGGTGGTTCAGTTAGAAAATAGTTTGGTGGAAAGAGCCCTGAAATTTGGGGTGGCAAACCAGAGTTAAACTACTCCAAGCCACTGAGCCTGAGTTCCTGGCACACAGGAAGTGAGAGTACGGGACGGCAGGGTTGGTGTGGAGAGCTGGTGAGCTCCCTGGTGGGAAGGGCTGTGTACACCAAGAGTGCAGAAAACTCGGTCCCTAGGGCAGGCTTGAAGGAGGTCAGGGGAGGAGTGGCCCCAGAGAACAAGACGTCCTGCCTACGTGTGATGGCAGCCCGCAAACCCGAGACACCGGCCTCCGGCCACCTCCCTTCCCTGGGACAGAATACCTCGCGCCACGCGTGCCCACCACCCTGTACCGCGGCCCTGCCATGTACCGTGGGCCTACCCTGCCCTGTACTGTGGGCCTACCCTGCCCTGTACCTGTACCACCGCCCTGCCCTGTGCCGCGGGCCTGCCCTATACCGCAGGCCTGCCCTGTGCCGCGGGCCTACCCTGTACTGCTGCACTTCTTCGTCGCGTTTCTGCCTCAGGAGTGTGATCTGGTCCTCCAGGTTCCTGTTCTGCAGGTGGAGCTGCCGGGCCTCTGCCTGCAGGGGTCTCAGAGCCTCTTTCATCTCCTGGATCTCGGCCTGGACTTTCTGCAGAGCCTTGGTTCCGGCCTCCTTCCTCTCCAGGAGCCGCAGCAGCTGAGGTTCATACTCCTCCTCCAGGCCCTGGCGGCTCTCTGCCATGAGGTTCTCAAACTGGGCCGAGAGCCGCCGGCTCTCCTGGAGAAAGTGCCCGTCCCCCTGGCTGGGGGGCGCTTCTAGTCGCTGCCGCAGCTGCTCCTTCTGCTTCTGACAGGCGTCCCGGAGCTGGGCCAGCTCCTGCGAGAGCTGGGCTGCCCGGGTGGTCAGCACGTCCCGGAGATCGGCCCACTGGGCCACGTCCTGCTGGCGGCACTCCAGCTGGTACTGGTAGGCCACGCACTCCTGTGTCACCTTGAACAGCCGCTGCTTGACCAGCCGGACCTCCTCCCTGAGCCCGTCCCGCTCCAGCTCGGCCTGGGCGTGCAGTTTGTAGGCCGCCAGGATGTCCTGGTGCACCTGCTGCACCTCCTGCAGGGCCGGCTCCCTCAGGACCACCAGCTCATGCACGAGCTGGTCCCGCTCCTCCTCCAGCTGGGCCACGGCCCGGACACACTGCTGGAAGCGCCCCTCCAGCAGTTCCAGGGCCTCGATGCTTAGGGCCTCCTCTGAGCTGGGGCTGGGCTCTGCTTGGGGACCCTCTTTGGGGCTAGACTTCTCGGGCCCTGGGACCATTCCTGCCCCACTGACAATCTGCTCTGGGCTGGGGGGCCTTCCTGGCTCCCCCATGGCCCCTGTCCCCTGCAGACCTCCCGGGTCACCCACATCCAGTGCCGTGACAGGCTGCCCAGTCTCCTCGATGTACAGCGTCTCCTCTGGCTTCTCGGTCTCTTCCACGTGGAGGATCTCAAGGTCGTCTGCGTCTCCCAAGTAGAGAATGTCCTCCAGGTTCACGGTTCCCTCCAAAGACAGAGTGATTTCTGGGTTCAGGGTCTCGGTCCTGTTCAGGGATTCGAGGTTCTCTTGAAGAGGACCAGCCTCTGCTCTTGCTTCCCTGCAAGACAAGCAATTTAAAGTGAGACGGTGACCCCACTGCCAGGAGGGCCGGTGACCGAGCCACTTGCCATGGGCCGAGATTTTATCTGGTCCTCAGCAGCACCTGTCCACTTGCTTCCCTTTATGGATTTCCCTGCAGTCCATTGTTTGGGTCCCTGTCACTGTCACATCTCTGTCACCTTCTAGGACAGGAAACTTACACCTGAGGCACTGCTATGAGGGGACTTTAACAAGATGAAAAAATTAAAGAATGGGTGATGTGGTGGTTAAGGTGCGGGACTCCCACATGGCCGACCGTGGTTTGAGTCCCGGGCCTGGCAGCTCGCTCTCTGGTGAGTGCAGTGCCCTACAGCAGATTTAAAATAATAGGGACCAGCAGATGGCATAATGGTTACGTCGCGGAAGCTGACCGTGGTTTGAGTCCCAGACCTGGTAGCTTAAAACTCACACCAGGTGTGTGTGCATGCAAGCCCAAAATCCCAAGAGAATGGAGAAGGGATTGCTGCATGGCCATCCCGCTGGGGGATGATTTCTCTCTTTCTGCACACACGCCACTGGGTCCAGGACTCAAACCTCAGTTGGCCCTGTGGGAGTCTAGCGGCGTAGCTACTATGTCATCTTCTGGCCGCCATCCATGTAAGCTTATTATATATTTTTTTTAAGAATTATTTATTTGTGGGAACCAGCAGTTAGCGTAATGGCTATGTTGCTGGACTCCCACATAGTTGACCGCGGTTCGCGTCCCGGACCTGGTGGCTTAAAACTCACGCCGGGCGCATGTGCGTGCGTGCCCAAGATCCCGAGAGGAGAATGGAGGAGAAGGGATCGTGGCGTGACCATCCCTCCTGGGGATGATTTCTCGCTTTCTGTCTGTCTGGCGAGTGCACGTGCCCTATAGTGAAAACCTCTCAAAAAAAATAAAAAGAAAAAATAAAAAGAATTATTTATTTGGGACCAGTGGGTGGCATGGTGATTAAGGACACTGGATTCCCACATGACCATGGTTCGAGTCCCAGATCTTGTGGGTTGGTTTCTCACTTTCCTTCTCTCTCTCTTTCTCTCTCGCTGTCTCTCTCTGGTCAAATTAAACAAAGAATGGCGGCATGGAGGTTAGGGCACTGGACATTCTACAAAAAAGAATTATTTATTTGGGACCAGTGGGTGGCATGGTGATTAAGGACACTGGATTCCCACATGACCATGGTTCGAGTCCCAGATCTTGTGGGTTGGTTTCTCACTTTCCTTCTCTCTCTCTTTCTCTCTCGCTGTCTCTCTCTGGTCAAATTAAACAAAGAATGGCGGCATGGAGGTTAGGGCACTGGACATTCTACATGGCCGACCACGGTTTGAGCCCCAGACCTGGTGGCTTGCTTTGTTACTTTCCCTCTCTCTCTCTCTCTCTGGTCAAATTAATATAAATGAATGAATAAATAAAATCAGAAAATAAATAAATAAAGTTAAATAAAATAATTCTTAAAAAACCTTAGGGCCAGGAGGTAGTATGGTGGTTAAAGGCTCTGGACGCCCACATGACTGACTGTGGTTCGAGTCTCTGAGCTGGCAGCTTGTTTTCCTACTTTTTCTCTCACTCAGTCCTTCTCTGGTCAAATTAGAAGAAACAAATACATAAAGTAAAATCATTATTTAAAAATTTGTTAACGATTAATTTTATATGTTGTTATTATTTTTAATTTGACCAGAGAGACACACAGAGAGAAATGGAAAGTGAGAAAGCAACCCGCCAGGTCCGGGACTCAAACTGTGGTCAGCCATGTGGGAGTCCAGCACCTTAACCACTGGGCCACCTGCCGGTCCCTCCATGCAAGCTTTTTAAACACTCGGGATAACCAGCTTATCTTTCAATTATTCCACAAGTGTCAGGATCCCCAGCGCCTTCTCCACGTGGATCACACGTCCCGCCCAGGCCCCGCCTGCCACTGTCCCGAGCCTTGAAGGACTGAGGCAGCTCCCCAGATGCGCTCTAGCAGCGATCTGAGGCAGCCGGCAGGGCACAGGCTCCGCACACAGGCAGCTCCTCCATGTCATGACAGGTGCTGAGGACCACTCGGGTCCTGCAGACTTTGTTTTTAATGCCAGAGGGCGCATACACGAGAGAGAGCGAGAGAGAGAGAGAGAGCGAGCGCGCCCCCAGGGCCTCGTCATCCTGCAGTCCTTTCCCCTTCAGTTTTCTTCCCCACCAGATCCTGGGCATACATACGCTGGCTGCCATGTTTTCCAGCTGCTGGGGCCAGATCAAAGCCTGGCTGGCCATGCGGGATCTGGTGTCCTCTGAGTGGTACACCCGCTGTGCTGTGGGGTTGGCCCCTCCAGACTTCACCCAAATGTTCTTTTTAAAAAAATATATTTTATTTAGGGACCAGCAGATGGCGTAATAGCTACATCATTGGACTCCCATGTAGTCGACCGTGGTTCAAGTCCTGGACCCAGTGGCTTAAACTCCCGCTGGGCACATGTGCGTGCGTGCCCAAGATCCTGAGAGGAGAATGAAGGAGAAGGGGTTGTGGCCATCCCCCCGGGGGGTGATTTCTCACTGTCTGTCTCTCTGTCTTTCTCTCTTTCTGGGGAGCACACACGTCCTATAGCAAAACAAAACAAAACATAAAAACAAAAACTCTTTTTTAAAAAAAGAATTATTTTATTTAACTTTATTTATTTATTGTAATTTGACCAGAGAGGGACAGGGCAAGAGAGAGGGGAAAGAGAGAGGGAAAGGAAAAGACCCAGCCACCGAGTCCGAGACTCGAACCAGTCGGCCATGTGGGAGCCAGCACCCCTAACCACCACACCACCTGCCGGCCCCACACCAAGTGTTTTGGAGCCACAGCTATGGTTCCTTAAAGCTCTATCTTGTTAGAACTGATCCATCTCTCTCACCTGACAGGCTCCTAACTCAGATTCTGGTTCCGCCCGCTGCTGAGGCAGAAAGCTACCTCAGGTGCTGCACGGCTGGAAACCATGTGGCGACCGTGGGTCTGGATCCCAGGTTAGCCTGGAAGGGCGGCGTGCTCACCGTGCCCAGGAGCCCGAGGAGCTGGACGGTGAGAGGAAGGGGGCTGCAGGGTGATGAGACCCTGTTGAGCGTATTTCTTCTTCTTTTTTTTTTAAGATACTCAACATCTTTCTTTTAATTTATTCATTCATTTATTTTTAATTTGACAGAGAGACACAGAGAGAGAGAGAAGTGGGGAAGTGAGAAAGCAAGCCACCAGGTCCAGGACTTGAACCGTGGTCAGCCATGTGGGAGTGTCCAGCACCTTAACCACCATGCCACCTGCTGGTTCCTTCTTTTTTTTTTTAAGAATTATTTCTTTCAATTATATTTCTTATTGTTATGATTTTAATTTGCTAAAGGCACATGAGCTCACCAGAGAGACAGCGAGCAGGAAAGTGAGACAGACAGGGACTCAAATCAGTCGACTCCATGGGAGTCCTATGGTTCGTGCCTGCCCCAAGGGTATTTCTCCAGTTCTTTTCTTTTTTTTTTAAGAATTATTTTTTGTTTAGTTTTATCCATTGTCATTATTTTATTTTTTTATTTTTTGAAGTTGGCCAGAGAGAGACAGAGAGAGAGAGAGGGAAAGTAAGAAAGCAAGCTTCCAGGTCCGGGACTCGAGCTGCAGTTAAGCCATGTGGGAGTCCAGCCACCTTAACCACTATGCCACCTGCTGGCCCCTTTTTTTCAAGAATTATTGTATTGGGCTGATAGGTGGCATGTTGGTTAAGGAAGCGGGACTCCCACATGGCCGACTATGGTTCAAGTCCCAGATCTGGTGTCTTGCTTTGTCACTCTCTCTCTCTCTCACTGGTCAAATTAAAGATAAATAAATAAATAAATAAATAAATAAATAAAGTTAAGGAAAATAATTCTTTATTATTTTTTTTAACTTGCTATAGGACATGTGTCTCTTCAGAGAGAGGGGGGGAAAGTGAGGAAGAAAGCCTCCAGGTCTGGGATTCGAACCATGGTTGGCCATGTGGGAGTCCAGTACCTTAATCACCATGTGCACATTCTCACTATTATTAAAAAAGAAATAAAAAACAGACTGTGGGATTCCCACGTATAAGCTCCTTGCCCCAGCGGCCTGCTGTCTGCCGGCTACTCCGTTTCTCTTGAGGAATGCCTTCCTGTCTCTTCGGCACTCAGGTGGCTTTGGGCTCTTGTGTATCTTGTCTACTTCAGTTCTCTGAGCAATGTTCTTGTTAGAGAGTGTGCGCGCCCACCCAAGAGACAGAGAGAGGAAAGCAAGAAAGCACCCCAAGGGGAGAGCCGTGCATAATCCCTTCTCTTCCATTCTCCTCTTGGTACCCTGGGCATGCACACACATGTGCCTGATGTGTTTTTCAAAAAGCTGGTGGGGGGACCAGCAGGTGGCATGGTGGTTAAGGGTGCTGGAGTCCCATGGGGCAGACTGCGGTTCGAGTCCTAGACCTGGCAGCTTGCTTTCTTGCTTTCCCTCTCTCTGTGTGTCCCTCTCAAGTCAAATTAAAATAAATAAATCAATTTTTTTTTAAGGTTAAAATAATTCTTTCAGGGAAAAACAAAAATGCTGGTGGGTCCAGGACTCAAAGCACACAGCGGCCGTGTAGAATCCAGCCACTTCAACCACCAGCTGGCCTCTCAGTAATTTTCTGAATATAGAAAATACAAAGGGGGCCAGCTCACAGCCTGGTGGCTAAAGTGACTAGATTCTGGGACCAGCAGATGGCGTAATAGTTATGTCGCTGGGCTCCCATGTAGTTGACTGTGGTTCAAGTCCCAGACCTGGCAGCTCAAAACTCATGCTGGGCACATGTGTGTGCATGTGTGCATGCATGCCCAAAATTCCAAGAGGAGAATGGAGGAGCAGGGGGTGCGGTGTGGCCATCCGTCTGGGGGAGGTGTCTCACTTTCTGTCTCTGTCTTTCTGGTGAGCACAAGCACCCGAGCAAAAATCCCTCTTTTAAAAAATGTTTAAAAAGTGGCTGGATTTCAATGGCCAACCACACAGTTCAGGTCCCAGGTCTGCCAGCTTGAAAAACATACCAGGTGGCTCGAAGAACACATGAGGCGTGTGTGCACCACGCCCAAAACCCCCAGAGGAGGGAGAGATGGAGGAGGACTTGCTGCAGCACGACCGTGGCCTGGGGGTAGGCGCTTCCTCGCTCTCCCTATCCAGGGAACACATGCTCCCTGGCAAGTGAGTAAACAGAACACGATGCAACGTTACTAATGAATTGCACCTGTTCCGGGCTTCCCATGAGCCAGCCCCATTCTCCGCGCTTCGCACAGACCAACCCGTTTCATCTTGGCGGGTCTGTGAGGTGGCTACGTGTACCATCTCCGTTTCACGGAGCGGGTTAACTCGCCCAAGGACACAGCAGCGTACGTGGCTGTAAATCAGACTAATTGGTATGTAATTTTCAAGAATCTTATTATTCTTCTTTTTAAATTTGCTAGAGGGGTGCGCACTTGCCAGAGAGAGGGAGAAAGCACCCCCTGTGGGGACAGTCATACCGGCTCCCTTCTTCCTTCTTCCTTCCAGGATTGTGGGCGCACACGCACACGTGCCTGGCATTTTCAATATACCAGGTCCACGACTCAAACTGCAGTCTGCCATGTGGGATCCAGCTGCCTAAACCTCCGTGCCACTTGCTGGCCAGGTCAGAAATCTTTACACAGCTCCTTCCCACCCTACAAAGCCAACCACTGGGGACCGATCGCTCTGCCTCAGAAAGTCTCCAGTCCATCCCCCTCTTCATCCGGCTGCGGGGCCCTCACCCCAGTCATCTCTCTGCTCTTCGCCCTACTTTTCTTCCCCACCCGCTTCTATGAGGGGGGGGAGGGACAGTGAGAGGGAGGGAGAGGTTTGTGTGCTTTTTAAGGTTTTTGTCAGAGCGTGCGTGTGCTCACTGGAGAGAGACAGAGAGGGGGGAAATGAGAAATCACTCCCTCTCGGGGACAGAGGGTGGCATGGTGGTTAAGGGACTGGACACTCCCAAATGGCTGACCACAGTTTGAGTTCCAGCCCTGGTGGCTTGCTTTCTCACTTTCTTTCTCTCTCTGTATCTCTCTCTCTCTCTCTGGTTAAATTAAAATAAATGAGTGAATAAATAAATAAAATAAAATAAATAATTCTTTTAAAAAAGAAAAGAAATCACTCCCTCTCCCCCGAGAGGATGGCCAGCGCCTCAATTCTCCTCCTGGGATTTTGAGCCCACACACATACCCTGCATGATTTTCAAGCTACTGGGTCCAGGCCTCGAACTGTGGTTGGCTTTGTGGGAGTCTAGCGTCTTAACCACTGTGCCACCTGCTGACCCCTATCCTCCTCCCATCTGCCCAGTCATGTAGGGTTATCGCACAACAGCGCCGGGCATGTTCAGGTGGGTCCGGGAGCCGACCCAGAGCCTGCTATGGAGCCTCCAACCTCCCAAGTGGCGCCACAACTGGCCTGTCTCAGCCTTCTAACGGTCTCCTGGCCTCTCCCGTCTGTTCTAGTGCCGCAAGCTCTCTGCGACATAAAGTGAGCCTTCTGCCCCATGTCAGTTTCCAGGCTCTCAAAGGTGTGACCTCGACAGGGCATTTTCAGTCTCATCTCACATTACTCCAGCCACCCAGCCATTGCTTAGCACCCCAGGGGACACTGTCACCCCCCCCCCGGTTTTTGCCATAGGGCACGTGCACTCACTGAAGAGAGACAGAAGGAAAGTGAAAAGGCCCCTCCCAGGAGCAAGGCCACGCTACAATCCCTTCTCCATTCTCACACGCACACGGCAGGATTTTCAAGCCGCCAGGTCCAGGACTCGAACCACAGTTGACTATGTGGGAGTCCTGGGCCCTAACCATCATATCAGCACACAGCGCGAGGGTGAGGCAGCAGAGAAATGCAACTTCTGGACTACCACCTGAGTGCTGAACAGCTCTGCGCCACCCGGGAAGCAGAGCTCCTGGCACGGGGACGGGCGCCCCTGCTCAGCCAGCCCCGTGTCCCGCAGCAGCCTCCTGCCCGTGCCCTAGCATTGTCCAGGGCGCTGTCCTGCCCACTGTAGGTGAATGCTCCTCTATGGGATGCTCTTCTGTTTTTGCAAATTGTATCCATGTATTTCTTCCATGTGAGAGACAGAGAGACACCCCAACAGGGCTTCCACGACACGGTCCGCCCCGGATCTCGGCCGGCCAAGAGCACAGGCAGGTGCTCAGAGAGGTCTCGGGACATGAACCCAGGCCCTTCCCATGTGGGCCACCTGTGTCACCACTGTGCCACCTGGCCCCTAGCATGTCCACTTACTGTCTCCATTTTATAAAGGAAGAAGCCAGAGCACAGAGTATGCCGCTCTCAGTCTCCCACAGCTCCTGGTGCTGCGGGGGTGGGGGTCGCAGAATACCCGTCCTCCTTGGGTCAGCCTGAGGCCTCCAGCATGGCGCTCTGCCCTAGCAGTCCAGCCGGCCTGGCGGTTCATTAGCAAATTTCTACTCTTCCCTCCCTGCGCTGCCCGACTCCACCTCCTGCAGGAGGCTCTCTGAGCAGCTCCTCTGGGCGTTCCCCCACTGCAGGCGTCTGCCTGCCTGCCCGACTGCCTCAGGATCTGTATCCTGCTCTCTGCTGGACATCTGGGGGGCAGGGAGAGGGTGGAGGGCAGGAAGGCAGCAGGAACCTTGCGCTCCAAGGAGGAAACTTGTCCAGGTGGAGTGCCGAAGCTGGAAGCTGGAAGCAGAACCCCAGCCCCAAGCACCCAGGGAGTGCTGTTTCCACACCACGTGGCCCCCATCACCCCTCTGCCACAGGCTGCCAGGCTCCCAGGAACTAGCGCCCCCTGACCTCAGGCTTCCTCCGGCCCTCCGCAGCCTGCCTCTGCCACTGTCCTGTCAATCCTGTCCACCAGGGCTGTGGGGGGGAGTGGGTGTGGCACCGTGCGGACAGCAGCCGGTGGTCTGATGCGTGTACCTGCACGCGTGTGTGTCAGAGGCTCAGCTTCGTGCTGTTGGTGGCTGCACAGGTGTCAGGAGGTGTGCAGTACACCTGAAATCCAGCGTCACAGTCAAACCTGGGGCAGACACGCGCCCCACACCCCAAAGGCGGAAGCCAGACCCGCGGCTAAGGAGGGCGG